TCCTTCCTTCCTTCCTTCCTTCCTTCCTTCCTTCCTTCCTTCCTTCCTTCCTTCCTCATATGCACTGCAAGGTAATCAACTGATTTGAAACACAAATAATTAAATGACTAAGATTTCTGTAACTGCCTGTCGAAAACAGCTTGTAGACCCAAAGTTCTACTTCTCATTCCTCCTACAGACCTCTGGCTTCGACATTGTTCTGTGTTGAGGTTCTTGCAGAATTCAAGAGGAGAGCCTTACTTATGAATAAATCTTTGCTCACAAGGACTCTCGCTCTGGATTCCTCAAACCAGGTCTTCTGTTCCTCACAGATCATGAATGAGCCTTCATCCCCTGATGCTGGCTTTCTCTAGGGTAGCATGGAGGTTTGGCTTCTTCCTTGGAACCAGAAGGGGTAATTCTTCATCTTGAGGAGGTGAGACCAATTGAGGAATTGCGATCTTCCTGATCCATCTCAATGTTTTTGGAGCAAACTGCTTCTTAGGAAAGTTTGAGGTGGCATGACCGGTATTCATCACCAGGTTAATAGATTAGAGTCAGCATCAGAGGCAGTTATGATTCCTATAGATGAGCATCTTGAGTAGACAATATGGAACCAAGAGGATGGAAAACTGCCATTCAGAATTGCCCCTAAGAGCTCTGAGATGCTGGTTGCCTTTTCATGCTTGCCATTGAAGGACATAATGACCTTACCTCTATCACCCTCTTCCAGCACATTGGTCTGAAGGAAGTTGTAAGTTCTGATCTACTCTGGAGATAATTGGTACCTTTTAAGAATCTGTAGAGGAGTGCAAGGGGAAAAAAAGCATAAGCAGAGATTTACGGAAAAATTATATTTCTGCAGATGTATGGCAGTTAACACGCTCCTGGTCATGATGGGATCTGTGAATGGTTCTTGATGACTTCCCCTCCACCTCCTCTTCCTCCCTGTCCAATCTACTTGCCTCTTTCTTGATTCCTTCAGGGGATTTGTTCTTCTGTACCTGGTAACAGGCATTCATGCAACTGCCTAGTAACATGCATAATAATCACCATCTCCAGGGAGTTGAAACACTGTGGTGAGAATGAAGTGTAAATGATGGAATTGATTAGCTGGAATCAATAGGAATCCAAAACTAAAAAGCAGTCATGGCAGACCAGTGAGACCTAGGTAAAATATGGATGTTTCCCAATAAAGCATATTTATAGATTTCCTATTGCCTGCATGCAGATAGACAGGGATAAGTATAGAAAACTCACAAAGACTCATGTCCAACATGCCACACGAGCTAGGTGGGTCCATCCACGTGCTTTGCTTCTGGCTAGTCACTAAATCCAAAACTGGTCATTAGGAAAGATGCTCACACTTCCCTGGAGGTAGACCAGGAGGCACAACTTTTTCCAGGCTGAGGGCCATGCTTGGTCCATGAATGGTGTGTCAGAGTCCACGCTCCCCCAAAGCAGTTGGTGGGAAGGATCAGGATAAAATCTTCATTTCATTTCGACTGAAATTCAGTTAAGTTAATCTAATTACCCAGCAGTCAGGCACTGAATGATGTTCTCTTTTGGGTAATTTGGCAATAGCTTTGGAGGGACCACACCTGGAGACTTGGGCTGTCCTGTCACATGTAGACTTTTTGTCTGCTTTGAGGCTGGGAAACACAGAAGGGCAGAAAGAGAGTGATTCTAAACATGTTGGTGGAAGGCGAGATGATCGCTGAGCGTGCGATCCTCAAACCCCATTGCCCTTAAGCCCTGTCTGTCTTGCAGCAAGGAATGGATTATAAGGCCCGGATCTCTCAAAAGAAGGAGGAAAATAGGAGGAGGAAGAGGAGGGAATCAAGCAATTGAAAAGTCCTTGCCTCTGATCCCATTAAGAAAACTTACAGGCGCCATGTCACTAAAGAGAGTCTATTTGTCATTCCAAGGTGACTTAGATGTTGTGGGCTGGTCCTTGTGACTGAGTTTTGCAGGGGAGTTATAATGGCCTACTTGTAGTCCAGCTTTGCGTTGCAATTAGCAGAGGATGTTTGAAAACAAACTGTTCAAGGTGTTGGGTGCCATGATCGTTCGGTTCCATTTTTTAGGGTTTATTAAATTTGTACTGCAGCCTCTCCTCAAAAGAATAGTGATGTTAAAAGCAACATACAGAAAAATAAGACACAACGCCTCCTGACCTTATTGTTCAAAGAAGTGTAGAATTGGGAGGACCCCAAGGAGCATCTAGTTCTTCAGGATTTTTTTTTAGCAGAAAGAAAATATTTCAGATGCTTTTTCTCTGGGAACCACTGCAAAATTCAACCACACAAAAACGTAGGGATGAGGATTCCTGATGTTTCAGTTTCATTTAAGAAGCAAACTCAGAACTCCCAGACTTCAGGATCATTTCTTAATAGTTACATGTAGTATCTGCTTTTGGGTGCAATAATATCTCGTGTGATACTATTGCTCCTGTCCTAGAGCAGAAAAACAGTCTCTGTCCTTTTCCTACTATTTTTTGCTCTCAAATGAAGTTTTGCAAAGCATCTCCTTTTTCGCTTCTTCCCCCTCATCATTGCCCACAGGAACCTGGATGAGACACCACCCCACATTATTTTAAAGCAGACCCAAGTGTGATTGGATTAAGTGTTCTGAGTGTGTATGTGTGTAGGATAATCAGCACATTAGTAACACACTACAACAGGAAGAATCATGATACAAATGCTTGATCATCCTGAATGCTTTTCTGTAATGTTTTCTCAAGGGCCCTACCTGACAATTATAAGGCAGGGATGGGGGAAAGAAAAAGTTAATAGAAGAAATAGAAAATGAGGGTGTAATTGAGTCTTCTCCCATTTTCAGACTCGGTCTTTAAAATCCTTCCTCAGTGAAATGAAATTTAAGTGGAATAGAATAAAAGCTTGGGACTCATAGTCATAGATAGCCGGTTTCTAGGGGCTGGCCTGGAAACCAGGAGATTGTGAGTTCCAGGCTTCCCTTAGGCATGGAAGTTGGCTGGGTGGCTTTGGGCCAGCCCCTCTCTCTCAGCTCAATCCACCTTGCAAGGTTGTTGTTGTGGGGAAAAGAGGAGGAGGAAGGAGTATTAGGTAAGTTCGTAGCCTTGAGTTGATCTATCTATCTACATGATATCATCTCATCATCTCATCTCATCTCTCTCTCTCTCTCTCTCTCCCTCTGGATTATTACTATTATTATTCACAAAATAATAGACAGCAATTCTCTCATCAAGAATTGGAGGGACAATTTCTTTTTGAACCATCCAGTTTTACAATGAGAGAAGACCTTGGAACTTATTTAATCCAGGGCAATAAAACCTTGGAATTTGGAAGGACTTCTCACTACAAATATGACCGGGAAACTCAAAGAGGTTGTCCACCTTCCCAAATACAGCTATTCCCAGTGCAGAGCTGAGATTCTGAAACGTCTGACTAAAGTGGGGAATAGCCATCACTCATTTTCAGAGCACAGCTTTGCATGCGGGAAATCCTGCATCTTAGCCCAGCATTTCTAGGTGGAGTTGGGAAAGACTTTCATCTGAAACCCTGGTGAGCTCCTGCCAATCAATGCAAATTACATTAGGGCAGTAAAATAAATTATACTCGGTAAGTTATGGTAGGGGTGCAAACTAAATTATTCTATGGATGGAAATAAATTATGCTAGGGATATAAAATAAATCTGCAATAAATGTAGCACAGGCAGCATCAGGGAAAGTCTGTGGGCATCTTTCATACTTTGCAAAATGGAATGCTGATTTGACAAGACTTCGTTCAAAAGAGCATCCATGTGCAAAGTTGTGTGCAAAGTCTCTGTTTGGGAAATTGGTCTATAAAGAAATGTTGGAGGAGCTGCATACAAAAATTAGAAATGATACCATACATAGCTGCATTAGAATATGAATGTGAGGGTGTTTATTCAGGCAACTGTGTCTATCGAAGGAGTACACATTAAGAAACTGTTCAATGGTAACTGCTGATTGTAGAAATCAGCAAAAACTATTTACTGGAAAAAATGATGGAAAAAAAAATAGGATAGAAAGCTTGGCATTGACATTTTGCTCTGATCTGAAAATCCCTAGATGATATTAGTTGAGATGGCCAATAATAGAACAGCCTATGGCCAAATTTGAATTTAGGTGTTTCCTGATTTGAAGTTCAGCCTAAGTTGGTACATGATTTGGAAGGTGTCTTTTGGACATCATGGAAACCTGCTATTCCTTAAGTCATCCTGACTTTTTTCAGATTTTTGTGAGAGGAAGTCATTCATTGAAGTTAACACAACTCTTAAAGCAACTTCAACTTTTTTGTTTTCAGTTTTATGTGGAAATTGGGTGGTTTTGATGAATAGTGGAGTGCACGCACGCAAGATCTTCTGAATCCCTTTTGAAGCATCTCTAGCCACCCCACTCATTATTTCTCTCAAAGGCAAAAGTTGACTTTGTCTCGGTATGGAAGGGTTTCTGCTCTGCTGTCTACTAGGCTCCCAAAACATGTCATATCTTCCCTTCTTCTCCATTTGTAGCAAAACCACTTCAGATGAAGACAGCAAACAGCCAACTCAGGGAGTGACCCATGTCCCTGAACAACCAACTTACGCTCCAGCCTGGGAAGAAAGGGTGACAGTGGAAATTGACTCCATCAAGGCAGGCGAAGAAGGTGAGGCCACGTTGGAAGATCTGAGAAGCTTGGTGGGAATGAATGTCACTTAATGGAAAGAAAGAGAAAAAGGGGACAATCCCCAACAAGGAGGATAGATTTAATGACAGCAGCAACAGGGGCAGCATTGGAAGCTCTTAAGGATCAGCTTGGGAATAGAGTGTTCTGGAGAAAATCTGTGTTGACACCCGCTTGATGGCACAAAATCAATCAATGGAATACAAGATTTGAAACAGCTTGTGTGCCCAGCTGAACGGAATTCAGTGGCCTAAAGACGTGATGTGGTACACAATCTTTCTTCCTTTCTGCTCTCTCTGAACCAAGCATATGAGTCTATATTTAATCATTGTCTACCCAATAGTCCTGCTTATCTGCCAGATAGGAAACTGGATCTGTTGTCTGGTGCCTCTGGGCTCTTCCCTCCTAGCTCCGTTGCCTACCTTAATGGGGAAATGATTATTGATAATTGGGGTGTTTTCCCAAGACGGTGGCCATTTGCCCTGGTGACTTGATCTTTATTGTTCCAAGCTGAGCAATGTTATGTGGGTAATCATAATAATACTAATAGCATTAGAGTTAGCAATTAGATTAATGCTAGACTCTGGCGGAATGAAGCCAGCGGCAGCCAGTCGTAGTGCTCCAGGTAATTCCATTACAGCTCCTTCTTAAGTGAAATAAAACAGTGTTTGATGTACTTTTCTACCTATCTTAGTTCCAGAATGATCGAAAGAGACAGGGCCTGTAGAATTTCAAGGTTAGGCCCCTTTGGTCTAAATCCAATTTGGGGAAGTGATTTGTATATGCAGGCCAGGAGCTGGGGTAGGGGCATCTACAGGGGAGGTCACAAAAGTCAAGATGGTAGCCATGACTGTGTGGTCAAAGCCCTGCTCCTTTAAGGGCATCTGAAGAAGCTGATTGGATGAATACTTCTTTTGTCTTTCGACATGCTTTCGACATGCCCAAACGTGTGTGGTAATGGAAGTGTTAGTATCATTGGATTTGACCCAAATAACTAAATGAGATGACTTGGAATTCTGAGAAATGAAGTCATGATGTTAATAGCTTCTTACAGACAGGGAGCAATGCTAGGAAAGCATCATGGCCCATCCCCTTTTTTAAACAGTAAGTTTTAAGTTAGATCTAAGTGGGTGAAAAATGCAAAGTCTTCTATGGGGCAGGAAAGAAGACCCCTGCTCAGTGCTGGAACCCCTCCTTTTCGAGCCAAAGATTCCAGTTTCAAATCCTGCCCTTTCAGTGCCATAGGAGGTGATAAGAAAGACTTTCCTTGGCTTAGAGTCTTGACTGTGCCCCATAAATAGAAAGACAGGTTATAAATAAAAAATTATCAAGACACCAGAACAGGGCTGCTTCAGTTCGGCCTTCAATCCATGTGGCCTTTAAAATAAATGGGCACACCACACAAAAAGGATGCCCCAAAGAGATCTCTCAGCTGGAGATTGCTCCAAAAGAAAAGATTCTTCAGCAAAAGATGTGCCAGATGCTTCTGCCCTGGTAGCAAAGGATGGGTCCCTAGGTTTAGGAAAAGAGGAGTCGAGGTTCCATCATTTCCTCTGTGATCAGAGTATAAGACGTTGTGATGGGCGGTCACCATCGCTATGATATCTAGGTTGTGGCTGAAGTCCCTGAAGTTAGTGATTGCACTCGGGAAGAGAAATGAAAAGATGGGAGGGATGTCAAAAGAGAGATAGAGAAGGGAAAGACAAAGAAATTCATGCATCGGGCAGGTGTTTGGCAGACTGTTGCTCCGTGGATATCTATTCAGCAATAGTTGCTGCGGTGACTCTGCCCCCTCCCTTCTCCAATGGGGTCACACAGAAAGCAATTGGCAACTAATGATTGAGGAAATGAGGCCCTATTCTTCTGTTGTCAAGGCAGGCCTTCCCTTTTGGACAAGGGATCTGAGGGACAAAGAATAATGGCCAGGGCGAGAACAAGACTGCTGGGGGGAGTTAATGAGACAGGCTCGCAGGCTGGAGAGCATCTCCAGACACAAAGCAACAATGTCTCCCTGCTTGGGACTTGCTAATGAGGTCAGACCTGAGCTTCAGCTGGGTACTCAGGAAGCTCACAAGATGCGGAGGCGCCTGAGCAGAAGATAACAAGGCCAGTGATGTGGTTAAGGTAGAAGAGGGCATCGGCAAGGGGCTGGGGCCTATGTATCCCTGGTTAGTCCATCACCCACTATGCCTTCCTGGTGCTCTTCCTCCATCAGACGTTCTACCAATGCTTTCTCCTTCCCCTTTTATCTCGCAATGGTGCCAACGCCTTTTTTCTCTGCCCTTTAACTTTGGGAACACCTCAGAACCCAGCATCTTGACTTCTCTGCAGGGCCTCTCAAAGAAGGGTAGGAAGAGATAAAATAGAATTTCTGGTGTTGCATAAAATTTGGAGTCTTCTCTAGGTTCTGCATGTTTCTTCTTTCTGCTCCCCAGCCTCAGGGACTGGTTGGGTGGTTTAGATGCATTTTTCATGGTCTATACAAAGTAATTCTGGAAGAGAATGCTAGATTTCCAGCACAGGTTGGCTCAGCAGAGTGGTCAGGTCATCCCAGATCAACCAATCAGAAAAAATAAGGCCCTTTTGAACTTACTAAAAGAAGTGCTATCTTGGCAGGCCAAGGAGTGAGAAAGGAGTGAGCCAATGGTCCACCTACATTTGGAGGTCTTTCTTTTTTTGTTCCAGATGAAATGGCAGAAAAAGCCTATTTCAACTAATCAAACTCTGAAACTCCCATTTTGGGTCCGCTAAAAAGAATATCCCCCCCCCCATCATAAAAGTTTGGTTCAGCCTTCATTGTCTGGTTTGGTTTTCATATCTTACATGATTATGTGCCTTATTCATTGCAAGAAAACTTAGCTATTATGGTGTTCTATATTTGATGGTTCATTAAAAAAAGATTTTAATTCTATAATGCCCCAATTCTCTACAAAGCCTTTTTTTTTTTGCTTTAATGTATGAAGTTCATTTTTTATTTTAACAGAGCACTATTCCACCACCTTCCCTTCCCTCTTCCTCTTCCTCTTCCTTTCCTCCCATCTCTAACAACATACACAAATGTGTCAGAAAAGAAGAAAGAAAGACTTTAGATGAGAGTACAGCTAAAGGCTGTTTTTTGCACACATAAACAGAAACATTTATCTCATTTGGAGGAACTTGAAGGATTTTTTTTAGTTCTTCTGCCACAGCCTAACATAGCTATTCCCCATGGATACTTACACACACAGGATGCAAATTCCAGACCAAAAATGTATACACCATTACAAGAGAAGGCACCAACAGTTTGTCACACCTTCCTTTTCCCTACAAATAGCGCCTGATTACAGTTCAGCACCAAGGACAGAAGCTTCCTGCTCAGGGGATGATGGGGGTGTCCCCAAGGACTGAAAGCAACTCCCGGCGCTTTTCACACGTGAAGCTAAGAATAATGAATGTTATCAAGTGAACAGGAGCTCATTTTCCTCACATGGGCCTTTTGTTCCACATCGCTTTTAAAACTTTGCTTAGCAAAGTCTATCTATCTATCTATCTATCTATCTATCTATCTATCTATCTATCTATCTATCTATCTATCTATCTATCTATCTATCTGTATATATGTATGCTGGTGGAGTTGCAAACTGTCAGAAACTAACAAGGATCTGAGGTGGGTTCATGGGAGGGAGATTAATGAAAACACCAACCAATTTTGCAGGAGCTAGGGAAAGGTACAGAGGCCTGTACTTTGTTCTCTTTTTAATCTGAAAACAGGCACTCTGCTCTAATTTTTATTAGAGGAGTGTCTTCTAGACAAGGGGTATTAATCCTCCCAGCTCCATTATTTTTTGGATCTCAATCAGCTGCCACCACCACCACTGAAACCTGCAATTTATCCCCAGAGCAGGGGAAACAATATAAAAATGACCAAAGAATCCACATTGTTTTTTTCCCCCTTTTATGCGGCTAATAGCTCCCCTGGGGGAGATATTTAAATTGGGAAAATGGCATGAAGGGATGGAAGATTAAATGTCACTGCTCTGATCAAAAGCAGAAGCCTCTCCCATTTGCTTTAAAGTAAAGAAAATAAAAACAGGGAGATCTGATCAAGACTCTCCCACGTCTAGCTCGGTTTGGCTCACGGGCATTTTTGTTATGTAAAAATGACTGTCTTTTCCCACCCTTCCTTTCTCTTTCCAGATGTGTCTCTCACTATAGCTGACAAGGACACCAAGGAAGTTCTTGCAAAATACAACATTCCTGTAAAATACCTACGTCCCTTTCATCATTATCACTGTGCCCTGGTGCTGGTGAGTCCCAGAATCTACCTGTTTAGACTTTGCTTTGCTTTGCTCGTAGACTTCATGGGGGTGGGGGAGAAATTGACTAGCTGGATGGAGTTTATGGCAGTCACAGACCAGAGTTCAAAATAAAACACGTTAAAAATAAAATAAGCATGAAAACACAAACCAGGATAAGAATTACAATTGGCAGTAGATTCCTTGGTGGGCAGTGAAGGGGTGTCTAATTTTACAGGCAGTATAAAGAAGCTGGCTCGATTCAAGGAAACTCAATCCTGCTGATCTGATCACGGTACATAAAAAAGAACAGAATTTCCTGGGTGTTTTACCAGATAAGGAATTATAAAGCAGGATCCTTACAGAGCAGTATTTCTTAACCCTGGCAACTTGAAGATGGGTGGACTTCAACTCCAGCATGACTGGCTGGGGAATTCTGGGAGCTGAGTCCACACATCTCAAGTTGCCAAG